GCAATAACTTTAGCTCAGAGAGACACCTGCTAAGTGTTCCATGGGCAAGTAAAACCTAAATCAAGCTTCCACTCCAAATGAATTACAGGTCTGGAAACCTGTGAAAGGAAGTACCTGCAGCAACTCTCTCTGCTTAGACATTGCATGAAGAATCCCCTCTACCGAGGGAGCAGCATGACCAAAGGCTCTGTCACTCCAGCCCTGGATGAATGTCTCTTTTCCTTGCTCCCTCTCTGTCACTCCCATCTCAAGTGTGTCTAAACCAGCTCTCAGGACTGTACAGTGGAAATTGCTCCTAGTGACTGCCATCCTCCTCATCTTTCAGATGAGACATGAAATTGAAGCCCTGAGTACAGAAAAACATAGCATATTTCAAAAGAGTGGAGGGATGTTAGTTCTGGTCTTCTGGCCATCTTCCAGCATGGGTAATTACATTTCCACCTAGCTAAAATTCCCTCTGCTCTACAGTTTTAATTGGACAGTAGTTTCTTACTTGCTTGTCTAAAATCCCAGGTTGGAGTCAAACCCCCACTGGCTAATTCAGTAGCCCTATTTTCAGTAGAGCTACACAGGCATTTCCAAAAAACTCTGTTTTCATTTTCAAACTTAAGAGTGCATAATATCAAATGGTCAAGATATCAAGATCATTAGTCATTGTAATTTTATTGTAACAAGTCTTTTTAAAAATATTTTTCACCCAAAACTCCTCACTGGCTCCATTTGAGCCAACCAAGATGTAAAAGTCCACCTGTATGAGAGAGACACTCTTGCAGTAAAGTACTTAAGTATATGCTTACCTCCCATGGCACATTCATTAAGCTTGAAGTAAAACATGATTTAATGGCTTTGGCAAATTAAGTCCAAGTTCATCAGTTTTTCAAGAAAAATATGTCTAACCATGTGTAGAGATTGGTAACCTACTCGGTAAGAGGAGAGTTATAGGGTTGACAGGAAAAGAAAAGTCAGGCATATATCCTGCAAAGAACGATTTTCACAAAACTTTTACTATGAATGTTGTTCTAGGGAGAAGCAGCTTTCCCTGATGCTGTGGAGCATTATTTTGTCTTCTGAAAAGCTTTTGCTTAATTTGTGTATACAGTCCATTTGGAAGGCCATAACTAATGGGAAACAGTCCCAACAACCATGCAAAAGATTAGTTTTCCTTTACCTTTAAATGAAATATCAATGGATGGATATTTTATTTTTAGTTGAATATGAAATTTCACAAGCGACCTGTCAAGCTCCCGTTTTCAAGAATGACTTTATTTCACACATCAAGACAGGCTGCGAAATTAGTTTTTCCCACAGAGAACTCTGATTAGGGATTACAAAGTGAGTGTGGCACAGGGTGATTTTTCCTCCATCTTTTCCCTCGCCCTGCCAGCCTAGAGAGCATCTGACTCTGCTGACTAAGGGGAGCAATTCATTACTGCACACGGGAGGGGGACAGGAAGCAAGATAGTCATATTAAGTAGACTTGCTAGCCCAAGAGAGAATAGGGAAAGCATAATAATACTTAGCCCTTATATTATTCTTTTCATCAGTGGATATCAAAGCACTTGAAAAAGGAGGCTGATTTGATGGGAAAGGAGATAAATGCCAATTCCAAGTAGCCTATTGCAGAGGTACCAGCAGGGATGCTCACTTT